AGATTCAGATGATGCAGTCCACCAAGGCTTTATTTAATCAGCCAGACGGAGACGAAGCTGGTCTCTGATCTCGCAGACAGTCGACCCCCTGAACGACGAAATGGCTGATTTTCGGAATCGTTTGGGAGTTCTCGAATCCAGACCGGCTTCATCAGCAACGGGTTCTTTTTCCAGCTGAGCGCCATGGAGGTTTCCAATGTTCAGATCGCCGTCGTCGGGTTTGCGACCTCCGACCAGCAGAAGCGCATTGCCGATCTTGAGAAGATTTTTGATGTGAATTGGGTATTTTTCCTCTGGCTCTCGTAATTCGCAGATTGTCTCGAAGACAGAATTTGTGTCAGACAAAGCCGTTCGTTATTTCTTAGTCTCTGTTGGAGGCAAAGGCGCGCGCGTCCAGATAAGCAACGGCACGACTCTGATTTTGAAGCCCGCGAAATCCAAGATCAACGCCACTGGGGACTGGGCCCTCCGCGAGGCTGACAAGAAATTGAAGGCCAGGACCCCTCGCGGCACGATCGGTACTGGAAATCCCGCGTAATCAGTATTCACGGTGCTTCCGGATTTAAGCAGGAATCTAGGGACTTGACCGGCAGTTTATGCGCATCATTCAGCGATCTCTCGCTTTAGAATGAAAGGCGTCCCGTGCAGTTTTGTCACACTTCTTTTTCTCTTCCTTCGCTCACTGCGTACTCCGCCGCCCCTCGCTCTGTGAGCAGTACGCGGCCCCCTGGCTTCCCGATCGGAATCCGCCTTCCAACGTCGATTTCTCTCTTGCGAGGCCCGGTCCAGCCGGAATTTCACGGAGGCGGATTTTTCGAACTGCTTCCGCCCAGGTTTTCGATCCGCCTTACGTGTTCGTCCTCCCTCCTCGTCTTCCCGGCCTCTTTTGCCTACTCGCCCTTCCTTGTCACAGCGCTTTTGGCATGAGTTTTTGCTCAGGCAGAGCCAGCAAATGTATCTCATCCTCCAGGTGTTGGCTGTGGCAACTGCCGACGCCGCTTGTTGACGCTTTTGATCTCGCAGTCTTTTGTATCAACATCAGATCTTTTAATGCGCACAATGGCGACTGGTCCGCTCGTCTCTTCCTCGTTCCTTCGCCTCGTCGTGTTTTTTCTTTGACTGAAACGTGGATGGACGCGTCTGTGAAACAGCCGCAGTTGTCCGGCTACATTTTGCTGGCGCGCCGCGACAGCCACCTGCAAGCAGAGGGGGTGGCGATTTTCGTCCTAGACGAAATTGTTCCTACCTGCTCGTTTCTTTTTGAATCCGATGGAGCAGATAGTTTGGATACTCGTTCACTGTAGCTCTGGTCCGCTTTCGATCGGATGCATGTGCAGACGCCCTCACTAGGGAAAAAAGTGCTTCACTTGATGTACTTGAACAGGAGTTTTCTAAGTTGCGAGAGCAATCCGTCGGTTTAATTCTTGTTGGGGATTTTAACGTTCATCACCTTTCTTGGCTAAAGCATAGTCGTTCGACGACCCCATGGGGCGTCCGTCTTAAATCGCTTGTGCAGGAGCATGGTCTCTCGCAGCGTGTTCGCGCCCCGACGCGCGGCCAGTACTTACTCGACCTAGTTATTACTGATCTGCCAAATCTTTTAATTGTTGAGGTCGTTAGTGAGATTGCTGACCATCGCGGTGTATCGCTTCGGTTTTCTGGCCCTCTTCTCTGCCCCGAGTGGGTTACACGGCAGGTTTGGCATTTTGCACGTGCGGATTGGGCTGGTCTGAGGCGCCGCTTTTGCAGTGAAGATTGGCGTTGGATTTCTGTTATTTCTCCAGACGAGTCCGCAGAGCGATTCACGAGTATAATTTTGGAACGCATGGCAGATTTCATCCCTTCCTTCGCTCTCGTTTCGCCCTTCCCATCCTTGGTTGACAGACGAGTGCCTACGTTTACTCGAAGAGAAAAATGCAGTGGCAGGCGCGGAATTGTCTCCGGCAGCGTGTCGTAGGTGTAGGTCTGGTCTGTTGCAAGCTCACGCCGATTTTATCCAGCGCACGCGAAACAAGCTTCCTTCCATTCGCCGCGGCAGCAAGCGTTGGTGGCAGTTGTCGAATGTTATCTTGGGCCGGGTTGCTAAGCCGACCATTTCGCCCCTCAAGAGATCAGACGGGAGTTGGGCGTTGACGAGCGTTTCTAAAACCGATCTTTTTGCTTCCAGCTTCGCCTCAGTATGGGACTTGCCAGCGACTGAGAACAACATGTTTTCTGATTTGTCTGACGTTTTAGTGCCGGCAGAAGGCGGCGAATTCTTTCGTATCCGGGAGCGCTGTGCACGGAATGTGTTGTCATCTCTCCGCGCCGACAGCGGCGCGGGGCCAGATTGTGTGCCAGCGCGTGTGCTGAAGGCATGCGCTCAAGCTCTGGCACGACGGCTCTGCCTTTTAGCACGGTCCATCGTGGCTCACTCCAGGCGGCCGGCCTGTTGGTGCGAACGCTGGATCTATGCTTTGCACAAGCGTAGGGACTTGTCTGATCCAGACAACTATCGTGGAATTCAGCTCACGGCGCAGTTGTCCAAAAGAACTGAACGTCTCATAGCCGCTTTGTCTGTTCCGCGTCTGGAACGCATGGGAGCTTTCGGCATGCACCAATTTGCGTACAGACGACGCCGCGGAGCACGCGACGCGCTCCTTCACCTCATTCTGTCCTGCCTTCACTCATTCTCGCTCGGGCACCGTACCGTTGTTTACTTCTCGGACGTGTCTGGTGCTCTCGACAGAGTCGATGCCGACCGTGTCCGGCAAAAACTTCGTTCTTTCAGCGTGCCAGAGCAGCTTGTAGATTTGCTTGCCAGTTGGCTTCGGCCCCGGTCGGCTCGGGTCGTGGTGGGAGGCCGCCAGTCGCATTCTATCCCATTGAGCGATATGGTGTACCAGGGTACTGTGCTCGGCCCGGTGCTCTGGATCACGTTTTTCGGTGATTCGTGCATGGCAGTTCGGGTTGAAGGTTTTGACGAGATTATTTTTGCCGACGATCTGACTGCTTGGAAGGATAGTCCGGCGGACATTTCCGACGCAGAGGCCTTCCGCCAGGCCGCTTCTTGCCAGTTTTTTTTTGCACGAGTGGGGGCGTGCGTACAGAGTCCGCCTTGACCCGATCAAAGAAGGTCATCGTATTCTGTCGCGAAATCGACCTGCAGGCGAAAGTTTTAGGTTGCTGGGGGTGACGCCCGATACGAAACTTTTGATGGGCGACGCTGTGGAGCAGTGCGCGGACGGCGCTTCGTGGCGCGTCTACAGCCTCGTGCGTTCGAAGCGCTACCACACCGACGCTGAGCTGGTTGGTCTTTTCAAAGCGCACGTACTGTCTTACATCGAGTACCGAAATTGCGCCATCAGCCATGCATCCTCTACTGTCTTTGCACCCCTCGATGCCATTCTCTTGCGGTTTTTACGTTCGTTGCATATCACACCGTTGCAAAGTTTATGTGCTTTCATTTAGCCCCGTTGAGCGTCCGAAGGGACATGGGCATGCTGGGAGTTATTCATCGCAGTGTTCTTGGTCTCGGTCCTTCTTGCTTCGCTCGGTTTTTTCGTCGTTCCCCCGCCCCTCGTTCTTCTCGCCGGTTTCGTTCTCACTCTCGTCAGCTAGTGGGGCCTTCTTTCACTGCGCCGGATTACGTCCTTCACTCAGCCCTCGGGATGGTCAGAGTGTACAATCGGCTCCCAGAACTCTTCACGCTTCGCGTATCCCCACCAGCCCATCTCAAAACATCAACTCTTGCGAAGCATCCCGACATTCGTGTTTTTCAGGCGTGTTGCCGCCTGCCCCCGCATATCTCTCCTGTTCCTCCTTCCTCCCGCCTCCTTGTACATCCTCCTTGTGGTGGGAGCGGGAGAAGGGCGAGGCGGAGGAGGAGGGAAAGAAAGCGCTCCTCGTGGTTTGAGTCGTTTGGGGTTTCTCGTCCTGGTGTGAGTCTGGTGTGAGGGCCTCTTGGGGGTCTCATGGGGGCCTCTTGGGGGCCTCGTTGTCGCAGCGTTGTGGCGGCTATCGCTCGAGGACATGCAGGCGCGCCAGAGATAATGCGAGTGTTCGCGTCTGTGTGCGTTGCAGATATGTGAGTCGTTCCAGCTCTTCGTGGTGTGAGTCGTTAGGGCCCCGCCTCCTTCCTTGTGTAACTCCTTCGGGCCCCTCATTGTGTCTACGTCGTTCGGGCTCCTCGTGGTGTGAGTCCCCTCCTTGTGTGTGAGTCGTTCGGTCCCCTCCTCCTGGTGTAACTCGTTCGGGTTCCTCGTGGTGTGAGTCGTTCGGGGCCCGCGTCGTGGTGTGAGTCGTTCGGGCTCCTCGTGGTGTGAGTCGTTCGGGCGCCTCGTCTTGGTGTGGGGCTTTCGGGCCCTTCCTTGTGGTGTGACTCGTTCGGGCTCCTCGTGGTGTGAGTCGTTGGGGTCTGTCGTCCTGGAGTGAGTCGTTCGGGCTCCTCGTTGGGCCTGTTGGGGGCCTCTTGGAGCTCTTGGGGCGTCTGGGGGGCCTCTTGGGGGCCTCTTGGGGGCGTCTTGGGGGCCTCTTGGAGCCTCTTGGGGCCTCTCGGGGGCCTCTTGGGAGCCTCGAGGGGACCTCGAGGGGCCTCTGGGGGGCCTCTTGGGGGCCTCCTGGAGGCCTCTTGGGAGCCTCCTGGGGGCCTCTTGGGGCTATCTTGGGGTCTCTTGCGACCTCCTCAGAAGCGCTACTAAGCGCTGACCCCTGAGAAGGACAACATCAGCCCAAAACCTTCGTACAATCAATGATTTTGCTAAGAAGGAAGAGGAACGCGGCCCTCTCAGAAGGCCAAAATGGGGCCAAAACCGTAGTAAAATCAATGTTTTTTACTTCAACGACGAGTTCAGGCGCCAAACTCCCTCCCCCCCCTCGGGGCCAGAATCTTCGTGAGGGTCGTCGTTTTTTGGCCCTCCCAGGCGTCGGAAAAGACCCCTCCAACGACCCGCGGCGCACCCTCTCCAGGTCCAGGGGGAGGGGGTAGGGGGAGGGGTAAACCCTTCCCCGAAGGGGAAGAAGGGGGGTTGAGGACAGAGCGGGCTCTCTAAACCACTCACGCCCAAAGGGCTGGTGGGATTCGTTGTCATAGCTCGTTCTGTTCATTCTTTTCAATCTCGCCTGCAGCGTCTTATCCGTGCGAGAGCCGCTTCTGGCGTGGACTGGGAGCACACGCTCTCTTGCAGAATCCCTTTCGCTTTTCATCCGCTTCATGAGTGCCAGAACTGGAGGGGTTGACTGTTTTCGCCGGCCTCCGGTCCTGCTCCTCTCGGTCCTGTCTTCCTTCTCTCCTCCTTCCCCCCTCTCCCCCCCTCCCTCCGCCCCTCCCTCCCTCCCCCCCTTCCCCATCCCCCTTCCCCCCGTTCCCCCCCTTTCCCCTGTCTGCTGTTGTTGCGTTCCGCCGTCGCCTTCGTTTTTGTTGTCCTGCTTGCTGCTGTCGCCGGTCGTCCCCTCTCCTTCTCGCCCTCTCCGCCCCCCCTGTCCTGTGCGCTGTGTGGAACGCGGCTGGGACCGTTTAAGGCAGCGCGCGTTTTGCGCTTCCCGCTCCCTCTCGCCCTCTCTCTCCCCCGGTGTTGTGTTCTGCTGCCCTCTCTCCCTCCCCTCCTCCCCCTCCCTCCCTCCCCTCCCCTCCCTCCCTCCCTCCCTCCCTTCTCTCCTCCTCCTTCCTCCTTCCTCGCCTTTCGCGTGTGTTTCTCCCAGGAGCAGCGGTGCCCGCTGCCAGTTTTTGCCTGGCAGTGCTCCGGGGGCGAAATTCGCAAGTTCATGGCTCGAAGTTTTGTCCGTTTTTTCCTTCTGCTTAGGGCTTCCTTTCCTTCGCCGTGCAATTCTTAGTGTGATGTTGGTGTGCAGAGATCAATCACCTTGTGAGCATGCTGTCATGTCCCGAGGCTGTAAAACATAAAAAAAAACAAAACATTTCTTGCTAATTCTGTTTCCGCCGAGTGTTGTTGGTTTGTTCTTCATTTCGATTGCGGGCCAGTTCTGTTTGGCAATTTCTACCGTCCTCCCCATTACACCGAAGTAGTTTCTATGCAAAGTGTGTTTGCAGAGATGGAAACGAACATATCGTTTGCCATAGGCGTATTTTCAATTGGTGATTTTAACGTTCACAACCTCATTTGGCTTCGACATTCTAACAGACAGACTCCAGAGGGAATCGAAGCTGCACGATTGTGTGCTTATCATGGGCTTGAACAAATCGTGCGCGAACCTACCAGAGAGCAGTACTTAATTGATTTAATTTTCACGGATTTGCAGGAGTTTGCCGAAGTGTCAGTTCTACCGAGAATTGCGGATCATCGGGTCGTCTCTTTGTCTCTCCTCTTCCCCCCTTTGTCCGTCTCCCTATGCACGAGAATGTGTTGGCAGTTTAGTGCTTCGAATTTGAAGTGCGTCTTTCGTGAGCTCGATTCTAAGGATTGGAGTTGCCTTCGCGGAGACCCGGACTCTGGAGCGCGCGGAGGATATTTTGCATGCTGCCGAACGTCACGTTCGCAAAGTCTTTGTGCCGGTCCGGTGGAGCCATCCCTGGCTGACGCAGGAATGTTTCGACGCTGTCGCTCGTAAAGCCGCGGCTGCAGATCCTCCAGAGTTTCCGGTTGCAGTGCAGCATTGCAGCAGAATTGTTTTAGGTTCTTTTTATTCGCATTGTAACAGAATTCGTTTGAAGCTTCGTTCTTTGCAGCGAGGTTCGAAAGCTTGGTGGGGGCTTTCAAAACAGCTGTTCGGCAAGACCGTCAAGTCATCTTCGCCTGCTCCTTGCCGCGCCAATGGCGCGTGGGTCGTCAGAGCTGACGAGAAGGCGGACTTTTTCGCGAATTCGTTTTCTGATCGCTGGACCATTCCAGCTGTGAGGAGGAATTGTTTTTTTGACATTCCTGAGCGCCTTCCAGTGGAGCTGACTGACTTTTTGTCGTCCGGGGGAGACAAGTTTTTAACGTGCTCACACAGCTCAAACGCGATTCCGCTACAGGGCCTGACGAGATTCCTGTTCGCATTCTTGTCGCCTGTTCTGCTTCTCTCGCTTTGTCGCTTGCTATTTTTGATTAGGTCTATCATTCGCACAGGCAGACGGCCGGAGCCTTGGCGTTTGCACTATATTTGTCCCCTCCACAAGAGGAGGTCTTTGCGCGATCTTGCAAACTATCGTGGCATTCATCTTACTTCTCAGCTGTCCAAGTGTGCCGAACGTATTCTTCTTTCTTTCTTGTTTCTTCGAGTGTCCCGCTCCTTGTGTTTTGGTTCTTTTTCAATTTGCGTATTGCCCTGGGCGCGGCGCCGGAGATGCGATATCATATTTCTTGCGTACTTGGCTCGGCCTTCTCGCTGAGGGAGCGCGGATCGGTTTGTGCTGTTCCGACGTGTCCTGCGCCTTTGACCGTGTGAATTCGGACCGCCTGCTCGCGAAGCTACGCGCTTGGGGTATCCCTCCGGCTCTGTGTGCAGTCTTTTCTTGGTGGCTGGAGGCCCGGGAGGCCCGCATTGCAGTTGGCGGAGCCTTCTCGCGTCTCATTAGCATGACCAACATGGTGTTTCAAGGGGCCGTTTTCGGCCCGCCTTTCTGGAACATCTTTTTCGGCGACGCCAGCGAAGCAATTGCCAGATTACACTTTCAAGAAGTAGTATATGCCGACGATCTCAACGCCTTCCGTCCTTTCCTCCCTTCCTCCCCTGACGACGAGATTTTTGCCACTATTGGGCAGTGCCAGTCGTGTTTGCACGAATGGGGCCGTGCCGGCGCTGTTTTGTTTGAAGCTTCGAAGGAGAGCCGGCGCATTATTTCACGTAGCCGCCCTTCTGGTGGCAATTGTATAATTCTCGGTGTAACTTTTGATTGTAAGTTTGTCATGTCAGATGCGGTATCTGAGTGTGTGCACGAATGTGGTTGGCGACTTCAGGCCTTGCTTCGCTCGCGGCGCTACCGCACTGTCGCCGAGCTTGTTGTCTTATATAAAGCGCGCGCTCTTTCGTTCATAGAATACCGTACGCCAGCTTTCTCGCGCGCTTCGAATTCTGTATTGTTGCCGCTTGACCGTGTCCAGGCGGTTTTTTTCTACGAGCCCTGGGCATAACTGAGTGCGAAGCTTTGCGCAACTTTAATATTGCCCCCCTTTCTGCCCGCAGAGATATAGCCAATTTGGGCCTTATTCGCCGCGCTGTGCTCGGTTTCAGCCCTCCGTGCTCCGGTGCTTTTTTCTCCGTTAACTCCTCCCCTCCTCCTCCCCGCTCCCCTCGTCGCCACTTCCGTCACTTGCGTGGCCCGTGTCCTTTCCGCGCCCCGGACTATTTTGTGCGTTCCGCATTGCGTGCCCCGGACTACCTTGTACTTCCTGACTCAATCATCTCCGCTGACAGTGTCAAATTGTTTCAACGTCTTCTCTCCAAATTGCTTCGTGTCGATTCTGCCGTATGGTCGTCTTGGCCACAGCTCTTCAGTTGGCGTGTGCCGATGGCTTCGCGCAGCCTTCGTAATTATTTTTCTTGGCAGCCCGATGATTGAGTTGTTCCATCTCCTTTTTCTTTGTTCTCCTCTGTCTCTTTCCTTTCTCGTCTTCTCGTCCCGTTCTCTTCCTCTCGTCTTCGTCTTCTTTCCCTCTCTCCCTCTCTTCTTGCTGCTGTCGCTGCCGTCGTCCGCCGTCCTCCTCCTCTCCTTGGCCCCCTCCCCCCGTGCGGGTTCTGAGCGGTGCTCGGTCCGCAGGCGTTTTCTCGCCGGGCGCGTCCGGCGCTTCTCGCTCCTTCTCCTCCTCGCCCTCCCTCTGCCTGCTTGCCTGCCCCCTCTCCCCCTTCCCTCCCTCCCTCGTTTGTTTCTGTCTTTGTTTTCTTCTTTCGTTCTCCCCGCCCCCCCTCCGGCAGTGCGCCGCCCGCCGGCCTGCTGAGCTGGCTCCGGCGGCCGCCCTGCCGCCATCTATCCTGTCTTGCCCCCTGAATTTTAATGTTTCAATTGCCGAATGGCTACGCTGAAGTTTCAACGTAGTCTGAATGCGCAAGAAAATTGCAGCTTAAAGAGTTGCGTGAGGAAGAAGAAGGGAGACCAACAAAAACCAGCATCATCTTCATGCTGTGAACTTCTGGATCGTTCGGAAGCGGCACGGCCGGCCGAACGCCGGATGGAGAAGCTTTCAAAATGCGTCAAAACACCCAGGGAGGCGGAGGAAGAAGAAGGAAGGGAGGGGGGGGGGGGGGGGGGGGAAAGGGGGCAGCAGCAGACGACAAACGACGAGGAGAGAGAGGGGGGGGGGCGAGCGGGGGGGGCAAGCCCCAAAAGGCGGCAACGCGCGGCGCGCGCGCCATGCTCTCCAAGCACGGCGGCCGCGGGGCTGGAGGAGAGAGGAGGGGGGGGGAAGGGCGCGGCGGACGACAGCGAGGCGACGACGACGGCCAGCACGGAACGACAGCAGCAGAAGAGGGGAAGGAGAGGGGGGGAGGGAGGGAAAGAAGGGGGAATCAGAGGGAAGCAGAAAAGACAGACCGAAAACACTTGCGTCAAGCAGGAGGCAACCAGTCGCGGCAGCGACGGAGAGGGTGGTTTGCCGGCGGAAGACGACAGCTGAGTACGTCCTGCCACTCGGGGTACGAATTCGCATAATCACGAAGCAAAGCCTGGGGCGCATATTGAAAATGTGAAACTGAGCAGGCCGCTACAACGCTGTCAGGGAGAATGTTGTCGCACTGACAAGTCCCAGCACGGATTGACGAGCGAAGTCCAGGGCCCGCAAACGGCGAGGATTTTCCACGTGCCGGAAGTGGCGGCGAGGGGGGCGAGGGGGAGGAGGAGAGGCGAGGCGGAAGAAGGAGGAGAAGTGGCCGGGGCCGTGTCCAAGAACGGCGCGATGAATTACCCCGGGCATGGCAATGTCACGCCTGCTTGCGAGAGGGGCTAAAGAAAAGTGAAACAGGGATTCTTTTTCTGCAACGGCCACAGACCGAAGAAAACGTGGCTGGACAGCGTCCAAAGGGGCGGGGGATGAGGAGGAAGCAGAGTGGAGCGCACATGTCCGGTATTCAATGTATGACAAAATCTGGTTTTATTTAAACAATAGTATAATATCAGCACAATAATAAAACATAGCGACTGCGTAATAAACATTGCATTTTTCAGCTGCAATCGCCCGCGCATGCTTGGATGGCATCGTGCATTAAAAGACGTGGGTCGAAAACGATACCAAGAAGTTGAAAATAGCACCGCAAGGACGGCTGCGAGAGACAATATGCATGCTCTCCTTCCCAGGATCAAAAACGACCCGGTTGGCAGCGCCCCGCCTGTGAAGGAAGGTCTGGCAATCGCCAAGCATGCGAAAGCACTGCTCGTTTGTGACGCTGCTCTGGACCACACGCAACGCATTGATTTCATCTGCGTAGGTGAGCTCCTCAAAGCCGGTGGCTCGCACAGCCATGCACGAGTCTGAAAATAAAGTGTTCGACAGCGGTGGTCCCGACACTGTGCCCTGATATATCATATTGCCCATGCGAACGGGCTCGGAAAGTACGCCCTGGACAGCGACGCGAGCGGGGCGACGGCCAAACCAGCTCGCGAGCACAGCCAGAACAGGCCCCGGGACAGAAAAACCACGGAGCTTCGCAAGCAGGCGGGGCACATCGATTCTATCGAAGGCGCCGCTCACATCGGAGCAGTGCAGCAAGACGCGGCGGCCGGAAGAAAATGCAACGATGCGCTGTAAGACAAACTATTAAACTGCATCGCGTGCTCTCCGGCCGGGACAGTGAGCGAACTGACGTGCGCCGAAACAGCCGAATCTGTCCAGGTGCGGCCCGAACAATTGCAAGAAGATGCG